AAGGACTGGGCTCTTTCGTCATTTTAATTAATCCGTTCCTTAATTAATTTCTGTGCCAACCACCTGACTGATAACAGCAACTCTGCATCACGCAGGTGCATTAAACCGAGAGGACGAGAGTTGAGCGTAAACCAGCCTCCCTGTGCAATTTTGTATTTTCCCAGTAAATTCGCCATTTGGAAACCGCTGAGATCAATCGGCCACTGTGATTAAAAGCCAATTAATGAGCGCGCTATTGTTGTTTTCTCAAGGGAAGAGGGAGAGAGAATTATTTTCGAAAAGTAGGTGGAAGGTCACTGTGACACAGCCCAGCCAAAGACTTTGGACCCCTCAGCTCAGCGCCCACTCAAATTAGAAACGACAGGCAGGGTGGACTAAAGTTATTTAGATAATGGTTACCCAAATTGTCCCAGTTATGATTGCCTGATTTCTTTTTCTTCTCTGCCCGCTGAGCTGACAGTCTTTTCCCCCATTGGAGAGTTGGACGAGGGGAGGGATTGAGCGAGCCTGACGCTATTTTTGTATTGTTGGAGTTTAAACTTTGCCACATAGTGGGGAGAAAAAAAAAGAGGTTTTGACTGGACAGAGGGACTGAAGACCGGAGAAGAAAATAACCACGGCTCAACTTCGCAGCAACGAAAACCTTTGGGATTAGAAACGTTGGACCAAACCGAACCGAGATCGGAGGACGCTCTCACGAGTGGGTAAGGCGGTGCAATCTCATTTTTTTCCTCCAAATTAATCCAGTAGGTTCCACCTTTGGAAACAAGTGCAGGGCAAATAAGAGGGCAGAGGTCAGGACTGGGCGCAGAGAAGAGAAACATGCACTAAGCGAGTGGTACATGAAGATAAGTGTGCTAATCAGAAGGCGATAGACAAGCAAACAAACTTCGTAGCTTTCAGAAAAAAATTCCTTGGATTAGAAGGACCCCGAGCTGTTCAAATATCTACAGTGTTTTTATTACATTTTTTTTCAAAGCTGGAAATATCTTCCAAATTACTGGGTATAGTTGCTTTGTGCAAACTGGAAGAATAAATGTCTGGAGGCTGAGCCTTAATCACGGGGTGTCTATTTTGCCAAGAATGCATTAACTGTTATTTATTAACAGAATTTAACAGAATAACAAGAGTTGGAAGAGACCTTGGAGGTCTTCTAGTCCAACCTCCTGCTCAAGCAGAAGACCCTATAGCATTCCAATCCCTTAAAGCAGGGGTCCCCAATCCGTGGACCGGTACCGGGCCGTGGCATGCCAGCACAAACAAGCAAAGCCCGCTCCGTGGGCTGTAGGCAGCACACAAAACTACGGACTCTCCAGTCCGTGGAAAAACCTTTCTCCACAGAACCGGTCCCTGGTGCCCAAAAGGTTTGGGGCCTCTGCCTTAAAGCCCCTAGTGATGGAGGACCCACAACTGGAGGCAGGTTGTTCCACTGATTAATTGTTCTAACTGTCAGGAAATTTCTCCTTAATTCTAGGTTGCTTCTCTCCTTGATTAGTTTCCATCCCTTGCTTCTTGTCCTGCCTTCGTGCGCTTTGGAGAATAGCTTGACTCCCTCTTCTTTGTGGCAGCCCCTGAGATATTGGAAGACTGCTATCCTGTCACTCCTAGTCCTTCTTTTCGCTAGACTAGACCTTATAATTTGAATTTGTAATTTGAATTTATAATTTCAATGGACAATTTGAATTTATGATTTGGTTTTCGGCGCACAGCTTTCCTCAAATCTTTGTGCGTGTTTCTAGAGAAAGAGATACTGTAGATACATCGCTGTCAATATACAGACTCATTTCTTTACACAGACACAGAACAGATCTTTCTGATTATCTCAGTAGCTTAGTCGACAGCGTACTGTTTGTACAGAGTGTGTTTCTTGGTGAATCTGTCTCAGTTGTGACTGTACCTCCATTTTTTTAAGAAACATTGTCACGTATAAACAGAGGCATAGAATCAAGATCACCCGAAGCATTCGTACCGCTTTATAAAACCCTAGTAAGGCCATACCTGGAATACTGCAGCCAGTTTTGGTCACCATATCACAAAAAAGATGTTGAGAGTCTGGAAAAAATTCAGAGAAGAGCAACTAAGATGATCCAAGGCCTGGAGACTAAAACATACGAAGAACGGCTGCGGGACTTGGGTTTGGCTAGTCTAAAGAAAAGAAGAAATAGGGGAGACATGATAGCAGTCTTCCAGTATCTAAGGGGCTGCCACAAGGCAGAGGGGGGCCAGGTTGTTCACCAAAGCACCAGAGGGAAGGACGAGAAACAATGGTTGGAAACTGGTCAAGGAGAGAAGCAACCTGGAATTAAGGAGAAACTTCCTGACAGTGAGGACAATCAACCAGGGGAACTCCTTGCCTCCAGGAATCGTGGGTGCTCCATCACTGGAGATTTTCAAGAAGAGACTAGATATTCACCTGTCTGAGACAGTATAGTTTCTCCTGCTGGAGCAGGGGGCTGGACTAGAAGACCTCCAAGGTCCCTTCCAGCTTCTATTCTATTCTATTCTATTCTATTCTATTCTATTCTATTCTATTCTATTCTATTCTAGTACAGGTAATCCTCGGCTTACAATCATAATGGAGCTAGGAATTTTCACTGTAAGTTAGGATAGTCATATGTTGAGACCAGACCTGATTTTATGACAGCCCCCTTTACAGTACTTCGCGAACACAGGGTAGAGCCAAAAGCACTTCCTGGGACAGGTAAACTGGTAGAGGTAGACCTTTCATTGAAGATAAACTCTAAAATGCTGGTCCCCACGGTCAAAAATGAAGAGGCGGTTTTAAAAGGAACGTGGGAATATATCTTTGAACAAATGACATTATCTGTTTGTTTCGATGGGCTTTATTTACACGAACTGGTGAAGGCTCTGCAGGATTTCAGGTGAGATTTCCCCCCCCCCAAAGGTGCTAACGTTTTCTGCCTGCAAAATAAAAATAAAAATCAGTTGGCGAGTTTTAGCTGTCCAATATCAGTGGACAATAACACCGAAGTTACTGTCTCTGAAAGTTTTCCAAAAGATTCTGTATAAAGGTGTGGGAAGACCTAGGGACCTATTTGAAAAACAGACATGGCACAGAGATGGAAGGGGACTAGAGAAAAATTGGCCAGAGAAGAATTCAGGGAAATAATTTAATACTCCCACTTTAACCAATACCTGGGAGGAGTGGATGGTGGCTATTGTAATCTACTAGAAAGGGCAATTTTGAAATGAGGATATTTCCCATTGAAGGCAACCAACGCACCATCTCTTCCAGCTGCATCGAGGGGACACGCACCAGCGCACGCTACAGAGTGGAAGCAGCAGTTTTGCTGTTGAAGTTTATTTGTTTATGTATTTATTAATCAGATTTATATGGCTATCCATCTCCTGGAAAGGACACTGGATGGCCGACGTCGGTTAAATTGAAAACAATTCATATATAAACAATAACAATGTAAAAATGCTATTAAAAGCTAAATGTTCTTAAAAATATGTAAAATCAAAGCTTAGCTAACATTTTAGATTTGGATCCCATTGTTCTTAAGTGTGATTTTCTTAACTGGCAAAAATCATGTCGCAAATCGCAGCCGCTTGATTGCGGAACACAGTTGACCAGTTGTAAAAGTGACCCTCGCGAAATATGGTCATAGAGGGAAGGCAGCATAATCATTTACAATGGTCAGTGTCTGTGTATGTGTGTATGTCTTTGTGTGTGTGTGTGTGTGTGTGTGTGTGTGTGTGCTTATGGGCTGTCAATCATCTGTTCTGTGACTATAACTTCAAACAGTTGTAAAGGACTGATCATTAAGCAAATGCTACTTGTAAATTAAGATTAATCTGGTTAGAGTCATGCCTAGCTACTACAGGCAATTGTGGACTTACAACCGCAATTCAGCCTAGAATTTCTGTTGCTAAGCGAGTCAGCTGTTAAGCGAATTTTGCCCCACTTTACAACCTTTCTTGCCACAGTCGTTAAGCAAATCACTGCAGTTGTTAAGTTAGTAACATGGTTGTTAAAGGAATCTAGATTTCCCCATGGACTTTGCTCGTCGGAAGCTCGCAAAAGGGGATCACATGACCCCGAGACATTGCGACCGTCATAAATACGAGCCAGTTGCCAAGTGTCTGAATTTTGATCACATGACCACGGGGAGGCTACGACAGTCGTAAATGTGAAAACTGGTCATAAGTCACTTTTTCAGTGCCATAGTCACTAAATGAATGCTTGTCAGTCAAGGACTACCTGTATACAACAAGCCTAGGGCAGGGGTAGGCAACCTTGGCTCTTTTATGACTTGTGGATTTCAACTCCCAGAATTCCTCAGCCAGCATGGCTCAGCTTGGAAGCCTCTCCCTTTCCCCTCAGTATGGCTGGCTCAGGAATTCTGGGAGTTGAAGTCCATGAGTCATGAAGGGGCCATAGTCATGAAGGGGCCATAGCCCATGCTGGCTCAGGAATTCTGGGAGTTGAAGTCCTCTGGTCTAGGTGTATCTATCGTCTGTCTGTCTGTCTGTCTGTCTGTCTGTCTATCTATCTATCTATCTATCTATCTATCTATCTATCTATCTATCTATCTATCTATCTATCTATCTATCTACCATCTAGGCCGGGGTAGGCAACCTGGGCTCTTTTATGACTCGTGGACTTCAACTCCCAGAATTCCTGAGCCAGCATGGCTCAGCTTGAAAACCTCTCCCTTTCCCCTCAGCATGGCTGGCTCAGGAATTCTGGGAGTTGGAGTCCACGAGTCATAAAAGAGCCAAGGTTGCCTACCCCTGGCCTAGGGAAATAAGCCACAATTGCTCCTTTCCCATAACCTGCTCGGGTCAAACCAGTAAACCTTATCATGGTATAAGGTGACAACTGGGGTGATGCAACCAATTAAGATGTTGACTTCGATTCTATTGACAGGTTCAACTAACTCCATGTTTAACAAGCTTGTTTGTTGGGTCCACCCAGCACTGCATAAGTAGCAGTAGCTTCTGAGCCTAACTCGTCTTCTCTCTCTCTTGCAGTTATGGCCTGCCCCAATCTTGACGGCATGGAGTTATTGGATCTCCTCTTTGACGGGCAGGATGGAGTCCTTCGCAACGTGGAGCTGGGATCCTTAGAGGCCCCTTGGATGGCACAAGAAGGCAGAGTGAGCAGATGGCGCCGGGTTGAGAAAGGGGGCAGCAGCTGGGCAAGACCTAAGAACAGAGTAGGCAACCTTGGCTCTTTTATGACTTGTGGACTTCAGTACCCATAATTCCTGAACCAGCCATGCTGACTCAGGAATTCTGGGAGTTGAAGTCCACGAGTCATAAAAGAGCCAAGGTTGCCTACCCCTGACCTAGGAGAATAGAGTTAACTGCTCCATTCCGGCAAAAAGTACTGAAAATATCCTATGCTCAGTGCCAAACTTTGTAGCCCGACACTTGGAGGTTAATATCACCAACAAGAGGAAGTTAAACAATAGTGGTAGAAGAAGCACATTGGCCAGAAGAAGCATATTTACATCCCCTGAAAGGAGAAATACTGAAACATACCATTTCAGACAAATGGCTGTCCAGTCTCTTCTTAAAAACTTCCAGTGTTGGAGCATTCACCGCTTCTGGAGGCAGGTTGTTCCATTGGTTAATTGTTCTAACTGTCAGGAAGGTTCTCCTTAGTTCTAGGTTGCTTCTCTCCTTGGTCAGTTTCCACCCGTTGCTTCTTGTCCTGCCTTCAGGGGCTTTGGGGAATAGCTTGACTCCCTCTTCTTTGGGGTAGACCCTCAAATATTGGAAGACTGCTATCATGTCCCCCCTCGTCCTTCTCTTCATTAAACTAGACATCCCCAATTTCAGCAGCCTTTCCTTATATGCTTTGGCCTCCAGTCCCCTGATCATTTTCGTTGCTCTTCTCTGTACTCTTTCTAGAGTCTCAGCATCTTTTTTACATCGTGGTGACCAAAACTGGATGCAGTATTCCAATGTGGCCTTACTAAGGCATTGTAAAGTGGTATTAACACTTCACGTGATCTTGATTCTATCCCTCTGTTAATGCTCCAACACTGGAAGTTTTTAAGAAGAGACTGGACAGCCATTTGTCTGAAATGGTATAGGGTTTCCTGCCTGAGCAGGGGGTTGGACTAGATGACCTCCAAGGTCCCTTCCAACTTTATTATTATTATTATTATTATTATTATTATTATTATTATTATTATTATTATTATTATTATTATTATTATTATTACTTTTTGTTGAAGAAATACAGAAACTTGCAACAAAGCACAAATTAAACCCAGAAAAGTGTTAGAAAGAAACTCAAGACTGCCCCATCTTGACTCTCATTAGTATAAGAGCTTTTAAAATTCTGCTATTATTGCCCAAATTAGCAGAGTTTTGGTATCACTTGTTGAGTCTCTTTTCTTACCTGCCCTATCTTGTGGATCTGACAGTGCCCTTGACTAAAGCAATGGGTCAGTTCCCAACTGAAAATGTTCTACTCATTATTATTTTGCAAGCGTTAAACAGAACAGAAGTGGGGAGGAAGAGGGATACCAATAAAGGAGAATATGTGTGGCTTAGGGTTGAAATGAGGGATCATTGGTGCTCTCTGAACTTGGTTGTTTTCTTGCAGACATTTCGTTACCCAAACTAGATAAAGCACTGATGATGTTAGCTAGTTTCTTGGAATGTATTTTTATGCAGTAGTATTCAGCCAGTAGATGGCAGTGTTTACAAGTTTGGATCTATGGTATATATACTCTGCTTTTTTGTTCTGAGTACAGTTTCCTGTTTCCTGTTATATAGTTGAGCAGTAAAGCACATGGTGACAGTACCCTTTCTTTGCTCTATATGGTGCAATATATATAAACAGAATTTCTAACAAAAAAAATAACCAAGTTCAGAGAGCACCAAGGATCCCTCAGAGGGACACCAGTTTAATACTGGTCTTCCATTTTACTAGGTAATGTTCTTAGTGGGTATTATTGCCCTCTTTGCAATTCAGGCAAAAATGGCTTATTTTTCAATGAATCGAAAATTGAGAATATCCTGTTTCGGGGCCTGGTTAAAATGGTTCAGAACGATAATAATGGTTTATGTAACATCCAAGAGTTTTGAGTTTGCTCTGTTGAAGTTTCGCTTGTAGGAAGGTGGCTTTCTAAGGTGGGCTTTTTCATGGAGAACCTCTACGCTCTATCGGTAGGTTTTGCTGAACCCTCAAGACAATGACGACTTCATCAAATCCATCTTGGGAGCGGCAAACACTGTCCTAGATTCTCCAAGCTGGTCTCCAGCTGCCAGTGACAGTGGCATATCTGAGGATCCAAATTCCGATCAGCTGGACAGCCCTCCACATTATGTTCCCACTGGGAGCCCGGAGGCCTACTCTGATGGAAGCTCAGCCAGTGACCTGGCCTACGCCCCCTGCCAGGACACCTGTCAAGCCTTACCTGCCCTAAAAGGACCAGCCGCTGAGCTGAGAGAGATGGACGTATCCATAGACTTCAGTGAGTGCCCTGTTTTCCCTTGAATGTTAAACCATGTGAACCCCCCAGAGGGCTGGGTGGGTGTGGCCAGGGTGCGTGTGGCCTACTGGGTGGGCGTGGATGGAGTGGGTGTGGCCTACTGGGTGGGCATGGCCAGCTCTACATCGTTCGCGTCAAGGGTGCCTGTGGGGGCCTGGGCAGGATTGGGACAGATCTGAGGGTCTCTGGCAGAAGGGGGTGGGACCGGGGCAAGCGCCAAGGCATGGTCCATTTCTTCATTCCTCACAAAGGGTGACACTCCCCAGCATGCACCCAGGGGGCGCGGCCGACACGGCAGGGGCTGGTTCCTCGCTGTTTCTGGATGGCCTTGTGGAGCTAAGACTGAATGCGTTTCAGCATAGATGGCCACCACAAAATTGTACATTGGCTCCCGGCCAGCCTGGGCCAGGGCCAAGGCAGCGGGGGCCGTTCCCTCACTGTTTCCAGGATGGCTTCGCGGGCCACATGAAACCACTTCGTGGGCCGCATCCAGCCCCCGGGCCTTGTGTTTGACATGTCTAGTCTAGGGTCTAGGGTCTCCTGCTTGTGAAAGGGGGTTGGACTAGAAGACCTCCAAGGCCCCTTCCAGCTCTGTTATTCTGCTAAACAGAGAGAAGGAAAATGAGCTCAGAATACAGAGAGGGTATATTGATATCGTTATATATGATATATGTAGACAGATTATGGGTAGTTACCCCAAAGGAACAAGATCTATAAATTGGCTTCCGCAGGATACATTTAGTCCTTGACTTACAGCCACAACTGAGCCCCAAATTTATGTCGCTAAGCGAATGTTGCCCCGTTTTACGAGTTTTCTCGCTACATTTGTGAAGTGAATCACTGCAGTTATTAAATTTGTAGTGCCGTTGTCATGGGAACCTGACTTCCCCATTGACTTTGCTGGTCAGAACGTTGCAAAAGGGGATCACATGATTTCTCCCCTCTCCCCCCGGGGACACTGCGACCGTCATAAATAGGATCCAGTTGCCAAGCATGTGAATTTTGATCCCGTGACCATAGTGGAACGGTTGGACTAGATGACCTCCAAGGTCCCTTCCAACTTTATTTTTATTTTTATTATTATTAACCTATTCTCCAAAACACCAGAAGGCAGGACAAGAAGCAACGGATGGAAACTAAGCAAGGAGAGAAGCAACCTGGAACTAAGGAGAAATTTCCTGACAGTTAGAACAATTAATCAGTGTTACATTTTGTCTTCAGAAGTTGTGGGCGCTCCATCACTGGACTTTTTAAAGAAGAGACTGGACAGCCACCAGTCTGAAATGGTTTAGGGTCTCCTGCTTGAACAGGGGTTTGACTAGAAGACCTCCAAGGTCCCTTCCAATTCTGTTCTTCTGTTATAAGTTAGCCGGTTGTATGGAGATGCTCAGTCATCCAGGTCATGGTTGTCCCCAAGGTGCTTTTTTCATGAGGCAACTGGATTTTCTTGTTTTTTCTTTGAAGACATTTCGCTTCTCATCTAAGAAGCTTCTTCAGTTCTGCTATTCCCCACCATCCAGTCAGAGCTGAAGAAGATTCTTGGATGAGAAGCGAAACGTCTTCAAAGAAAAACAAGAAAGTCCACTTGCCTGGTGGAAAAAGCACCTTTGGGACAACCTGGAGGACTGAGAATCTCCATCGGCTGATTCAGACCATTGAAAACTCTGGTATGTGTATTGAGAACCTGGCCTGATGTGATCACCTGTGTGCTCAAATCCAAAAAAAGATAGCATCCTAAAATTATAGAACGTACAAGTCAGAAGAAATTAAGAGGTCCTCTAATCCAGGGCTTTTCAATGTGGTACATTGGCACCTGGCAGGTGGTACGCGACCATCCTAGAAAAGTGGTGGCAGGGGAGGGGAATGAGCTGAACCGGTGGCAGCACCGCACAAGCCTGAGCGAGAGACGGCTGGAGCTTCGGGACCGTCAGGGCTCAGTGGAAGCGCCAGGATCAGTGCCGCTTTCCAGCTGATCGGCGCTTCTTCGGGGCTGTCAGGGCTCAGTGGAAGCGCCAGGATCAGCATCAGGCTCCAGCTGGAGCTTGGCACTGATCCTGGTGCTTCTGCTGAGCCCAGAAGAAGCGCCGATCAGCCGGAATGTTGCAGCATCTCCAGGGTCTTGTGATTTACATTCAGATGCTTGGCAACTGATTCACATTTATGACGGTCACAGTGTCCCAGGGTCATGTGAAGTGACCAAAACCTGCTGCAACCACCCAGCAGACGGGGGGGATAAAAACCAAACACCCCCCACCCCACCCCCGCTGCCAATCCTCAACAGAAATGCTCACAACAATGAAAACCTCAGACAGGAGGAAGAGCGCCGCCAGGTGGGCAGGCAGGTGTCTTGCTCAGCTGTGGCTTGGGGGGGCACTTTTTTCAGTGCCATTATAATTTCAAACAGTCACTAAGCGAACTGTTGTAAGTTGAGGACTACCTGTACTTTATCACTTTTTTCCTTTTTTTTTTTTTTTTGGAGACATCAAGTTTTTGACACCTTGCTAGGCGACTGGTGGTACTCGGATGTTGCCATATCCTAAAAGTGGCACAATGGGTGAAAAGGTTGAAAACCCCTGCTCTAATCCAGGGGTCTCCAACTTAACTGCGAAAGTAACAAACCCAACTGCAAGAGGGATCTTGGAATCTTACTGGACAATCCATTAAATATGAGCCAACAGTGTGCTCCAACAGCCAAAAAAAGCCAGCACAATCCTAAACTGCATTAACAGAGGGATTCAATCAAGATTCAATCAAGTTAGCCTTAGCAACTGTAAGACAAGGGGACTTCAGCTGCCAGAACTCTCAGAGTTAATAATAATAATAAAGTTGGAAGGGACCTTGGAGGTCATCTAGTCCAACCCCCTGCTCAGGCAGGAAACCCTATACCATTTCGGACAAATGGCTGTCCAGTCTCTTCTTAAAGACTTCCAGTGTTGGAGCATCCACCACTTCTGGAGGCAGGTTGTTCCACTGGTTAATGGTTCTAACTGTTGAAGTCCATTTATATTAAAATTGCCACGGTTGAGACGCACTGGAGTAACCGTTGCAACACAATAAGACCCCGAGTGCTAAGTGGAGCTTGGAACAATTCAGGTGGCCTCAGAACTGTGAGTGTGACGTTTTCATTAGGCAGCAAAGTGAAGCAGAAGATCTTTTTAGAATCATAAGATCCTGACTGTTGCAGGATGAAACCTAAAATGTTTGTGCTTTTGGTGTAAAATTAATATTCTCTTCCTCCAGGTGTGCGCTCATGTTAACTTTGTTGTTATCAAACGATTACCACCAGAACTCAGATTAGCAAGTAACCAGAAAGGCTTGACTGACCTCCAAGGTGTGGCTCTCAGTCAGATAAGATAATAATGTACTGGAAGAACAAACTTTATCTGCTCCAAAGCAGTTTTCCATGTACATTGAAAAGCTGGATTTTTTTCTGTTCCCTAACCAGCAGGTTCCTTCAAGAAAAACCAAATGCACAGGTATAGTATAGGGAGTACCTTGCTCAATAGTAGTAACTGTGAGAGGGATCTCGGAGTCCTAGTGGATAATCACCTAAATAGGAGCCAGCCGTGTGCTGCAGCTGCCAAAAAGGCCAACACAGTGCTAGGCTGCATTAACAGAGGGATAGAATCAAGATCAGGTGAAGTATTAATACCACTTTACAAGGCCTTGGTAAGGCCACACTTGGAATACTGCATCCAGTTTTGGTCACCACGATGTAAAAAAGATGCTGAGACTCTAGAAAGAGTACAGAGAAGAGCAACAAAGATGATGAGGGGACTGGAGGCTAAAACATATAAGGAACGGTTGCTGGAATTGGGGATGTCTAGTTAATGAAGAGAAGGACGAGGGGGGACATGATAGCAGCCTTCCAGTATCTCAGGGGCTGCCCCAAAGAAGAGGGAGTCAAGCTATTCTCCAAAGTGCCCAAAGGCAGGAGAAGAAGCAACGGGTGGAAACTAAGCAAGGAGAGAAGCAACCTAGAACTAAGGAGAAACTTCCTGACAGTTAGAACAATTAACCAGTGGAACAACCTGCCTCCAGAAGCAGTGAATGCTCCAACACTGGAAGTTTTTAAGAAGAGACTGGACAGCCATTTGTCTGAAATGGTGTAGGGTTTCCTGCCTGAGCAGGGGGTTGGACTAGATGACTTGCAAGGTCCCTTCCAAATTTTTTTTTTTTTATTATTATTATTATTATTATTATTATTATTATTATTATTATTATTATTATTATTATTATTATTATTATTATTATTATTATTACTACTACTACTACTACTACTACTACTACTACTACTACTACTATTATTATTATTATTATTATTATTATTATTATTATTATTATTATTATTATTATTATTATTATTTCTTTGCAGGTATGTGGCCTGCTGGTTTTTATGCAGAGGAGAGGCAAGTAACAGATGCCACCCATCAAAATCCACCCTCCTGCATGCTCACAATTAAGAACCTCCTTCTTTCCAACAACTCTGAAATGGCAAGTATTTCAATCGTAATAAGGATGATGGAGATATCTAGAAAGCTGGTTACTTTTTTTACAGTTATTTCTAAGAACACTTGAAAACGCTTTCTAATGAATCAGATTTGATTCTGGAAGGAGTGCAGGAGCAACAAAGATGATTAGGGCGGGGGGGTGGGGTAGATGGCAAAACATATGAAGAACTATGGTACCTGACTCAATAGTAGCAACTGTGAGAGGGATCTCGGAGTCCTAGTGGACAATCCCTTAAATAGGAGCCAGCCGTGCGCTGCAGCTGCCAAAAAAGCCAACACAGTGCTGGGCTGCCTTAACAGAGGGAGAGAATCAAGATCACATGAAGTGTTAATACCACTTTACAATGCCTTAGTAAGGCCACACTTGGAATATTGCATCCAGTTCTGGTTGTCACAATACAAAAAAGATGTTGAGACTCTGGAAAAAGCACAGAGAAGAGCCATAAAGATGATTAGGGGATTGGAGGCTAAAACATATTAAGAACAGTTACAGGAATTAGGTATGTCCAGGCTAATGAAAAGAAGGACCAGGGGTGGCATGATAGCCGTCTTCCAATATTTGAGGGGCTCTTACAAAGATGAAGGGGTCAAACTATTCTCCAAAGTACCAAAATGCAAGGCGAGAAACAACGGATGGAACCTCACCAAGGAGAGAACCAACCTGGAATTAAGGAGAAATTTTCTGACAGTGAGAACAATTAACCAGTGGAACGACTTGCCTCCAGAAGTTGTGGGTGCTCCATCGCTGACTATTTTTAAGAAGAGACTGGACTACTGCTTGTCTGGAATGGTAGAGGGCAGAAGGTCTTCAAACCTGGCCCTTTTATGACTTGTGGACTTCAACTCCCAGAATTCCTCAGCCAGGCACTGAAGAATTCTGGGAGTTGAAGTCCACAAGTCATAAAAGGGCCAGGTTTGAAGACCCCTGGTATCAGGTCTCCTGCTTGAGCGGTGGGCTGGACTAGAAGACCTCTGAAGTCCCTTCCAACTCTGTTATTCCATATTTCTTCAATGGGGATATCTAGAAACCCAGTTTATTGTTGGATGGTTATTTCTAAGAACATTGAAGATGCTTCTTCCAGCTCAGACCATTCTTACCTTGTGCTGTTCTAGCACCAGCAGGCTGTCAACTCTGCAGCGATGAGGCAGACCCCGGGGACTTGCCAGGAGCTGGTGCTGACCGAGGACGAGAAGAAACTGCTGACTAAGGAAGGGGTGACTCTTCCAACTCAGCTCCCTCTCACCAAGGTAAGCCACACTGAGGCCGTGCTTTTTCTCAAATATTATTGGGGATTACTCATTAATACAGGTAGTCCTCAAACCTACGATAGCAATTAAGCCCCAGGTTTGCATTGCACACAAGACAGTCATTCAGTGAGTTTGTCCCGTTTCGCGACATTTTTGCCACAGCTAGTACGCGAGTCCCGCCGTCGTTAAGCGAATTAAGGCCGTCGTTAAGCAAATCTGGCTTTCCCCATTGAGTTTTCTCGTCGGAGGCCCAGCTGAGAAGATTGCAGATGGTGATCATGTGTGTTCTGTCCCAGCCTGTGTGAATCCTTGTTAATTCACAAGGACAAACCCCTCTTTTAACAAGTAGGCTGGAAATGCAGGAAAAACAAACCCCTTTTATTAATTAGGTGCAGACCTGCAAAATGTCCCAAAAGCGAAGGCAAAGAAAACACGATGCAAACGGAGAATTGTTCACAGGCAGGGCAAACAGAATTTGATTCCATGAAACTTAAGTCCTTTGCAAATGGTTGCCTTCAGCAATCAGCACCGCCCACACCTTCCCTTTTTATTATGCAGCCCCAAGGCGTGGCTTCTCAATGCCTTCTCTTCCTCCCTTGGAGTCGCCCCATTGCCTCCCTCTGTCCTGCTCTTGTTGCCTGTCTGCATTTGCAAGCATCTATGATGACTTCCAGCTGTGAGAAGAATCTGGCTCAGCTTCCCCGCACAGCTGGGTCTCAGCCTGAGCACAATTGGAGGGGGCCAGGCTCTTCACCAGATTGTAAGTCCTGGAGCTCATCAGAGCCTTCCTCCGACTCTGATGGCTCTCCAGGTCCCTGATTCCCCGGACTCCGCTGCCGGGTCCACTGGCCGGCACGGACTCACAACAATGTAACCGGTCGTTGCAACTATCATAAAAACTTGCCAAGTGCCCAAATTAATGTTTGTTAAGTGAATCTGGCTTCCCCATCAACTTTGCTTGTCAGAAGGTCACAAAAGGGGATCACACGACCCTAGGACACTGCAACCGTCATAAATATGAGTCAGGTGCCAAGCGTGTGAGTTTTGAGCACATGACCATGGGGATGCTGCAACGGCTGCAAGTGTGAAAAACAGTCATAAGTGACTTTTTTTCCAGTGCTGTTGTAACTTTGAATAGACACTAGACAAATTGTCATAAGTCAAGGACCACCTGTATCACAACTGCCCTGAACCACACCCACTGGAAAATACTGGTCCTCTTGTCCAGAATGAATGCAATGAGAATGTCACTGATGTACTTTTTAAAATAAAGGACTTCAGTCATTGCATATTATTTCACAAATGGACCAAAAAACTCTTTGAGTTTGATATAAAGAAATGGATATTGTTAAAAACAAAACGACTAGCTAAGCTGGATCTCTTTGCATCGGCAGTATGAGGAACGCATTCTCAAGAAGATCCGTAGAAAGATCCGGAACAAACAATCGGCTCAGGAAAGTCGCAAGAAACGGAAGGAATACATTGATGGTTTAGAAAGCCGGTATGTTATTTTCCCCCGTTTGCCTCCTTCAACATTTTGAGTTTGATCTTGCTGAAAGAAAAAAAATCAGGTCCGGTTCCAAGCTGGGAATAAAATGGAGGCTGCTTTTGAAAGAAGGTTTCTGTTTATTGATGAGCACAACCAGCAACAGCATGGGGTTCTGGGGCAGCTAACAAAATGGAGTTGAGAGTGGGCGGATCTTTATGGGGATCTGAGACTTCGAAGTGGAAATGTTTCTGGGTTGTGCAATGAGGTGGGCTTTTGTGTCTTTTGCTAGTCTAATGCTGGTGGGTTAATCCTATTATGTCCTAAAGGTCATGTCCTATCCTTAGAATTTGGGTAGGGGAATGTAAATTCTTAATCTCATCAGCTCTGGGGCTGAAGGCGTTTTGCTTATGAATAGATTGGCCCCAGCCTTTCTTAATAGGTACAAAATATCCATCTCTAAAGACTTGAGGATTCTGGCTGAGGCTATTAAGAAAGACTGGGGCTGCTTTCTGCCTTTGTTAAGATTTTTCTCCATTTCTTCCTTGGGGAAATATAATATTCTGCCCCTTTTTAATATTCCCCCAAGTATTTCATTCTCAATGGTGTGTGTGTGTGTGTGTGTGTGTGTGCTTACCACAATCTGATCATCAACAAGCTAAACTAGAACATGGATCAAGGTTTCTTTGTTCTGTTGAAGGAAAGGGCTTCATCATGGTTCAGTCCAAGCCGGGAATAAACAACATGGTGCCTGCTTTAGAAAGAAGGTTGCAGTTTATTGAAGAGGAGAGCCAGATAGAAAGATGGCTCTGGAAGAAAAGACAGCGAGCACATGTAGGGAGTGGGTTTTTATACCCTCTGGAGCCTTTTGTTTGGAGTTGCTTTCTGTTCCTGTTTTGAGGCATTGTATTTTCTGTGTCATGTATTCTGACCTGAGTCTGGGTGTGCCCTTTAGCATCTGTGGGTTAATCCTATTACGTCCTGTCTTAGAGTTTGGGTGGGGTATGCAGATTTTAGGTGTCTTCTAGCTGGGGGCCTCCAACCTTCCTGAATGGATTGTTTACATCTGCATTTCTACAGAGCTGGTTTCTGCTTGGGGGAGGGAGACTTGGGGCTACTAAGAAAACTGGGCATGCTTTTCTGCCTCTTTAAGATCCTTTGTCTAGTTTAATGAAGAGAAGGACGAGGGGGGACAGGATAGCAGTCTTCCAATATCTCAGGGGCTGCCCCAAAGAAGAGGGAGTCAAGCTATTCTCCAAAGCACCTGAGGGCAGAACAAGAAACAACGGATGTAAATTAATCAAGGAGAGAAGCAACCTAGAACTAAGGAGAAATTTCCCAACAGTGAGAACAATTAACCAGTGGAACAATCTGCCTCCAGAAATTCTGAAGGCTCCAACACTGGATGTTTCTAAGAAGAGACTGGACAGCCATTTGTCTGAAATGGTGTAGGGTTTCCTCCCTGAGCAGGGGGTTGGACTAGATGACCTCCAAGGTCCCTTCCAACTTTATTATTATTATTATTATTATTATTATTATTATTATTATTATTATTATTATTATTATTATTATTACTATTACTACTACTACTACTACTACTACTACTACTATACGTTTAGAATTGGCGAGATCTTTAGGCACCATCCTGCTCCAGCCTCTGGATCGGCTTCTCCTTCTACTAGCTACGTCAGGCCGGAGAACTTAAAAAAAGAAAAGACGAATAAACCGTCAGGAAATTAAACCGTTTCCTCCCTCTTCACCTCTGTTGCCCTTTTGCTTTTCAGGATGTCGGCTTGCACAACTCACAACCAGGAGCTCCAACGCAAAGTGGTTCACCTGGAGAAGCAGAACTTGTAAGTGATGGAGATGGACCTCCCGCGCCCCCCCCCCCAGTCTGCTTGGCATTCACCGAATCAATAGAAGAAATTCTGGCCCGCTTAAATTTCCTGAATTTGCCCTCTGCTCCCCCCCCCAAAAATCTGATCCTAACAGGGGGCCTTGTTCTCCTTTTTTTTCCAAGGTCTCTCCTGCAGCAGCTGAAGAAACTCCAGACCATCGTGATGCAGTCCAGCGGCAAGGCTGCCCAAACCAGCACCTGTGTGGCGGTATGTCGGGGACTGTGTACACGGGTGGGCGGGCAGATATAGCTACTCCTCGATTGACGACCACAATGGAGTCCAAAATGTATGTTGTTAAGCGGGTTTTGCCCCATTTGACGAACTTTCGTGACACAGTTGGTATGTGAATCCCTGCAGTTGTCAAGTTAGTAACGTGACTGTTTAAGTGAATCCGGCTTCCCCATTGAGTGGAAAGTCGCAAAAGGGGATCACGTGACCTCCCCCGGGGACACTGCAACCATCATAAACACGAGCCTTTTGCCAAGCGTCTGGATTTTGATCACGTGATCCCCATCGTAAGTGTGAAAAACGCTCCAAATCACTTTTTTCAGCATAGTTGTAACTTCGGTCATTAAACCTTGTAAGTTGTAAGTTGAGGACTACCTGTATGGGAATAGTGGTGCCTAACTATTATTTCTCTTTTTTGCCTGGCCAGTTTAGCATAAGAGAGGCTGCAATGGCTTCTAAAACAATGTCTTTTTTAAAAAACTTGGCACCTTTAAGATAGGGTGAAAAAAGTAAGGTTCTACATTTAGGCAAGAAAAACCAAATGCACAGGTATAGTATAGGGGTACCTTGCTCAATAGTAGCAACTGTGAGAGGGACCTCGGAGTCCTAGTGGACAATCACTTAAATAGGAGCCAGCCGTGTGCTGCAGCTGCCAAAAAGGCCAACACAGTGCTGGGCTGCATTAACAGAGGGATAGAATCAAGATCACGTGAAGTATTAATACCACTTTACAATGCCTTGGTAAGGCCACACTTGGAATACGGCATCCAGTTTTGGTCACCATGATGTAAAAAGATGCTGAGACTCTAGAAAGAGGGCAGAGAAGAGCAACAAAGATGATCAGGGGACTGGAGGCTAAAACATATAAGGAACGGTTGCTGGAATTGGGAATGTCTAGTTTAATGAAGAGAAGGACGAGGGGGGACATGATAGCAGTCTTCCAGTGTCTCAGGGGCTGCCACAAAGAAGAGGCAGTCAAGCTATTCTCCAAAGCCCCTGAAGGCAGGACAAGAAGCAACGGATGGAAACTAATCAAGGAGAGAAGCAACCTAGAACTAAGGAGAAACTTCCTGACAGTGAGAACAATTAACCAGTGGAACTACCTGCCTCCAGAAGCGGTGAATGCTCCAATACTGGAAGTTTTGATGGCTTCCAGTGTTTACGTAAAGTCCCTGGAAAAAAAATGCCCATTGGGGAAAATAGACTAACTTAACGTTAAGACCGATGCTGTTCGCTTAACCACCATGCTGTGCGCTTATCGATGGCCACAAAAATGTCAAAAAAATAATAATTGGATCTGGCCTCAATTTACAACTACAATGACTTACCAGGGTAATTCCAGGCTCAATCCCAGTTGTAAGTCGGGGGCTATTCTATATAGACTCTGCCACCCTGGAGGGAAATCAGGGGGACTGTAGCAACTGGGGTCAGAGGAACAGGGATGGGAAGAGCGAGCCAGGGGGACAACCTGCCTCCAGAAGTGGTGGATGCTCCAACACTGGAGGTTTTTAAGAAGAGACTAGACAGCTATTTGTCCGAAATGGTATAGGGTTTCCTGCCTGAGCAGGAGGTTGGACTAGATGACCTCCAAGGTCCCTCCCAACTCTCTCATTCTGTTCTGATGCCTCCAGGATGGGTGGAGAGCACTTCGCTTCCACAGTGGGGAAAAGTCCCTAATTTGAGAGGCGATGGATCGAAAGTACCTCCAGCCCCACTTTCTATCGCCAATGGGGCCAGGGGAACCGAAGCCTCTCATCCAGATAGGCCAGGGGTCTTCAAACTGGGCCCTTTTATGACTTGTGGACTTCAATTCCCAGAATTCCTCAGCCAGGCATGTGTGCCTGGCTGAGGAATTCTGGGAGTTGAAGTCCACAAGTCATAAAAGGGCCCAGTTTGAAGACCCCGGATACAGGCACACATCTGCCTGATATTCAGAGGGAAAAAATGGACATTTTTCTTTAAGAGGCTACGGCTATTGTTAGATTTCTTTTCCTCTTCCTTTGCGAATATCTTTTTTTTCCTTACAAAGAGACGCATCACTGGCATCACTGGCTGTACATTTATTTATTTATTTATTAATTGTATTTATATCCCGCCCTTCTCCTTTCGGACTCAGGGCGGCTGACAAATGATAAAAAGCTAACATATTACACCTAATTTAAAATTTGATTAAAATTTACTCCAGATTTGATCTTGATGGGAGAGTGAAGTGGAGTGGAGTGGAGTAGAGTGGAGTGGAGTGGAGTAGAGTAGAGTAGAGTAAAATGACAGAGTTGGAAGGGACCTTGGAGGTCTTCTAGTCCAACCCCCCACTCAAGCAGGAAATCTATGCAATTTCAGATGCATAGTTGTCCAGTCTCTTCTTAAAAACCTCCAGTGATGGAGCACCCACAACTTCTGGAGGCAAGCTGTTCCACTGGTTAATTAGTTTCATTGTTAAGGAAGTTTCTCCTTAGTTCCAGGTTGCTTCTCTCCTTGATGAGTTTCCAACCATCGCTTCTTGTCCTGCCTTCAGGCGCTTTGGAGAATAGCTTGACTGCCTCTTCTTTGGGGCAGCCCCTGAGATACTGGAGCACTGCTATCATGTCCCCCTCGTCCTTCTCTTCATTAAACTAGACAGACCCACTTCAAGCAACCGTTCTTTGTATGTTTTAGCCTCCAGTCCCCTAAGGGAAGAATAACAGAATAATAGAAGATCAGAGTTCAAAGGGACCTTGGAGGTCTTCTAGTCCAACCCTCGGCTCAAGAAAGATACCAGCATCTTTTTATTTGCTTCTCAGGTCTTGCTGCTTTCCTTTGCTCTGATCATCTTCCCCTCCATTGGCCCTTTCACCCGCAACAAGGCCGAGACCGGGGGTGACTTTGTACCTGTGCGAGGTGAGCAAAGTGGGTGGGTGGATGGGTGGGTGGGCATCTGGGCAGAGAGGAGAGGAAGCACCGAAGCTGGCTGGAGCATGCTGTCCCCTGGCCTCAAACACCTAATGGGCAATCACAGCAGGAAAGTTGATGATTAATCCTGAGATAGAGCCCAACGTTGATTAGGCTGATTTATGGGTCCTCCTTCAAGTCAGAAGTCCATCAGCTGCGCCGAAGAATCCAGTTCTACCTTGAGAGGAACGGTGCTGAGGAACCAACCACGTCTCTGTTTCGTGAGCTTTAACCACAAATATACAAACCAATCTCCCAAGTGAGAGAAAGAAAAAAGATTGACTCGTCACCGGATTCCCAAGGAGCCATATTTGGATCCCAAGGATTTATAGATGTATAGATAACTTCTGCTTATATCACAGAGTCAAATCTGTGGCTTGAAGTTCCTAGCTTAGGTGAGTTTTGCCCAGCCAGGAGACGGCCCAGACTTTTAACGGCTTAAAAACAGTGGTGTCTAATTTCGGCGATTTTTATGACTTGTGGACTTCAACTGCTGGCTGGGGAATTCTGGGAGTTGGAAGTCCCACAGGTCTTAAAAGTTGCCAAGGTCAGATACCGCTGGCTTAAAGAGAGAAGACAGTTCAATCAGGTCAACTAGAAAATAAGCTCAGAAGTTGGAAGTAGAAGATAACTTCTACTTATTTCCTAACTGGTAGAAGATAACTTCTACTTATTTCCTAACTGGTGTGAGTTTTGCCCAGGCAGGATACATCGGGGGGGGGGGGGAGCCCAGAATTTTAATAGCTTAAAACAGGGGTGTCCAACCTTGACAACTTTTAAGATTTGTGCAGTTCCCCAGCCATGGCTGGAGAATTCTGGGAATTGAAGTCCACAGGTCTTAAAGTCACCAAGGTTGGCTTAAAAGGAGAAAACGGTTGAATCAAGTCAACTGAAAAACATGTTCAAAACTAGAGTAGAGTAGAGTAGAGTAGAGTAGAGTAGAGTAGAGTAGAGTAGAGTAGAACAGAACAGAATAGGACAAACTCATCAAGGAGAGAAGCAACCTAGAACTAAGGAGAAACTTCCTGACAGTGAGAACAATTAACCAGTGGAACCACCTGCCTCCAGAAGCGGTGAATGCTCCAACACTGGAAGTTTTTAAGAAGAGACTGGACAGCCATTGGTCTGAAATAGTGTAGAGTTTCCTGCCTGAGCAGGGGGTTGGACTAGATGACCTCCAAGGTCCCTTCCAACTTTATTATTATTATTATTATTATTATTATTATTATTATTATTATTATTATTAATCAGTATTCAACTGGAGGGGATAATATGTGTACAATGTATTGGTTTTTTTGATGCACCTTTTTAATGTTCTGATTGTTTTGTGTTTTGTTTTTGTTTTTATGTCTTCTTGGATTTTTATTTGGTTTTGTATCTTGTATTTTAACTCTGTTCTGAATATAGTAATAATAATAATAATAACAACAATAATAATAACAACAACAATAATAATAATAAATAGAATTACAGAATAGAATAGAATAGCAATACAGAATAGAATAGAATAGAAATACAGAATAGAAGAGAATAGAATTACAGAATAGAATTACGGAATAGAATTACAGAATAGAAAAATTGAGTTGGAAGGGACCTTGGAGGTCTTCTAGTCCAACCCCCTGCTGAGGCAGGAAACCCTATACCATTTCAGACTTCTTCTACCAAGGCAAGTGGCACAACCCACGTTCAGAATTTGTAGTAGAATCTACACTGTTGTGAGCCTGATCCGGCGGTCGCTAGTGTAGAGATTAGTAGGGAAGGCAGAAGATGGTGCCTCAAGAATCAATCCTTTGCCGTTCGCCCCATCCCTTGTGTGCGTGTGTGTGTGTGTCCCTCATGCTCTCTGTCCTCCTCCCAGTTTTTTCTAGGTCCCTCAACAACGATGCATCCTCTAGAATTGTCCACTCCCTGGGCAAGGAGGCCGAGCAGGGTGGCCAGGAAAGCCTCTGGAAGGAGCCCGCTCACAGCGAAGACCACGCGCCCAGCACCTTGATCCGGGATCTCTTGAGGCTTCAGAAGGAGGGCAACCACACGGAAGTCTTCCCGGAAGGCAGACCTGCATCTTTGGATGGACTCAGGCCCGGTGTTCCCTACCCAAGCCCAAATCTGACATCAGTGGCTTGGACTGAATCGGAGCAGCCTGGAAAGGGGGTCTCGGAACAGACAGAGGAGCTGTGACTTTCCACCGGGCTGCTTCCTTTCCCTCACTAAACCAGGACGGGGATGGGGAGACTGTGTGTATGTGTGTGTGCGTGCAGCAGTATTGTGTCTCTCCTATTGAGGGGGACGGGGGAAAAAATGTGAAAGAGAGTCCCAGTGTGTGTGTGAGAGAGAGCAAGAGGAGGGGGTCTGAATCCTCCTGGGCTATTTGGGGACCCCCTGAAAAAAGACAGGCCGAGCCCCGGTTCTCCTCTTCCATTTTTAAAACGGGGGGGGGGGGCGGAATTCTCCAGGATGGGACCCCCAGCAGGTCTGTAGCCGTGGATCCTTACATTGCACTTCACTGCAAAGTGTGTCACATCCCCACGTCCCTTGTGGAACTAGGGGCTTCAGGTATTCATTATAGGGAAGATGGAGTTTGAAATCTGATTATTGGGATTTTTTTGCCGAGATTTTCTGCTCATCTGATGTGCAGTGATGATGGATGCAAAACGTTCTTTTCTTTCTTTAGACGGGGGGGGGGGAAGAGAGTCAAAGCCGAAATGTACAGTTACCCCTTACGGCTTTGCACCCTCCGTTATGCCCACCCCTGAGCCCCAAAATTGACATTTCGAGTTGAGTTTTGCCCCCATTTTACGACTTTTCTTGCCAACGGTTGCAGTCGTTGAGTGAGGAACCCGGTCGTTAAGCGAATCTGGCTTCCCCTCCATTGACTTTGCTCGTCCGGAGGCCGCCAAAGGGGATCATAGGTGACCCAGGGACATCCCAACCGTCATAAAGACGGACCAGTTGAAATTTCGATCGCGTGACCGCCGGGTGGTTAAGTGTGGAAAAACAGGTTCGTAAGTCGCTTTTTGCGACTTTGAACGGTCGCTAAACGAACTGTGGCAAGTGGAGGACCGCCCGTGTAACCTTTCCGTGGAAAGGTTAAGAGTCCAGGAAGGGAGCAGTGGTTCTTTTAATCCAGCCTCTGCTATCTTTACTTTAAAAAAAAAAACCAACAACTTAAAACAGGGATATAAAGATGTAATCTGCCTCTATAAGAAACTGATAACGAATATGCAGAAAGAAGGGAGGGAGGGGGGGCGTTTCTCCTCCTCCTCCTCCTCCTCTTCCTCCTCCTCCTCCTCCTCCTCCTCCTCCTCCTCAGATGGCTGAGGCTGTGAATTTGCACGTTCTGATTATGTAACGGCAACGGCTGGTCTTCCGGCAAGCTCCAAACAGCTTTCGGGAGGCATCTGTTTGGATTATTTTCTCTTTGCCGTTTCGTGAACCGCCGCTTTCGGCCCCCGCGGTTTGGCTGCTTTCTCTTCTGAGGGCTCAAGCAAGCGTGGGGCGGCTGGTTCGACATGTGACGGCTTCTGCTCGGATGAAATCCGAGCACCGAAGCCAGCTCAGAAGTTTCGCTGTCTCAGATGATGTCCTCCCTAGTTCCAGCTTCCCGGTTTATTTTCCTTCTGGGAAAGCAGCCGTGGGCTTATTGGTGTAGTAGTGGGATGCGTGGAGGGCCTTGGGGGAAGGAGAAAGAAAGATGCCGCCTAGGGAACGGCCAGATAAGAGAGGGCTTAGCCTGCAGCTGCCTAAAGGGCGGAGAGCAAGCTCAGAAGAGACTCGCCCTAAGTTCTCAGGCTTTAAAAGAGAGAGGGGGGGGGAGAGAAAGGCTGCTTAGGGAACAGATAAGAGAGGGCTTAGCCTACAGCTGCATAAAGGATGGAGAACAAGCTCAGAAGAGACCCTGTAAAAGGGAGAGAGGGGAGAAAAGCTGCTTAGGGAACAGATAAGAGAGGGCTTAGCCTGCAGCTGCATAAAGGATGGAGAACAAGCTCAGAAGAGACCCTGTAAAAGGGAGAGGGGGGGGAGAGAAAAGCTGCTTAGGGAACAGATAAGAGAGGGCTTAGCCTGCAGCTGCATAAAGGATGGAGAACAAGCTCAGAAGAGACCCTGTAAAAGGGAGAGAGGGGAGAAAAGCTGCTTAGGGAACAGATAAGAGAGGGCTTAGCCTGCAGCTGCCTAAAGGGTAGAGAACAAGCTCAGAAGAGACCCTGTAAAAGGGAGAGGGGGGAGAGAAAGGCTGCTTAGGGAACAGATAAGAGAGGGCTTAGCCTGCAGCTGCCTAAAGGGTGGAGAACAAGCTCAGAAGAGACCCTGTAAAAGGGAGAG